ACAGAGAAGGGTCCTGGCTACTGCAATTATAAAGCACCTGGCATTTAACCATTTAACTATGTGTAGTATTTGGTTTTTTTTAAAAGTTTTTTTGTTTTGTTTTTTACTGTAAATCCACAATTTGCAGCTTGATACAATGCTGGAAGCTATGGGTGAAGTGACACAAGATCATTATTAAATCGAGAAATGCATGAGATTGCAAATTTTGGGGGAAAAATAGACGTTTTGAAAAAATAATCTAAATTATACAGAATCACAATTTAGATATTTTACCCTGAATTTTGCAATTCGCTAATAAATTCGCTGCATCTCAGCTTTAAATGAATAAACGTTAAATAAATTGTGTTCTCAGATCAGGTATTTCGGCCTAAAATTCGCTGTTCTTTTTTGCGTTCCCAGAAATTCGCAATGAAGTGAACATACGTTTAAAAGTTAGTCGAAAAGTGCTTTTCTTTTTCATTTAGTCTATTTGGCTTTATTTTATTTTAGAACTCGTTTATCTGTTCACTGTATTACAAGGATAGACCTATTATATCAGCAGATGCCTAAAACCAGAATTTGGAACATTTGAAGGGTTATTAACTAAAGTAAGACTCCAAAGTGAGTTCAGACTTAATTTCAAATTTAAGGCTGAAATAATCGAACTGTAATAATAGCAGAGTTGGAGAATGTTCCCAGTGAGTCGATTTTACCTTGAATTTTAAATTCACTTTAAATTCTCACTATAGCAAATAGTCCATTAACCCCTTAAGGATACATGACATGTGTGACATGTCATGATTCCCTTTTATTCCAGAAGGTTTGACATTAAGGAGTTAAGGACAAAACTTCTCGATTTGAGACATTCCTCATTTTTTTAGATATTCCACAATCAATTTTGCTTGTTGTTGTCCAAAATGCTGCAAATTCCGATTTTACAATTGCTTAGATAATAAATCCTTGGAAAATATATAAACAGGAAAAAAAATAGAACTTGTCTTAATTGTAGCTTGGAGAGAGCCTGCTTTATGTGTGTATTTGTATTTATAAAGCTACATTTGTTGTACTGCTGTCTATGCATTATAACAATGCACAGTGATTGCAACGACTAGAGGAACATGAAAACATGAGGTCTAACAAGAATGAAAAGCGCCTGGCCCACAGAGCTGACACTCTTGTTCATACAGAAGGTGTCAATAGAGATAGCATTTAAACAGAAATGTTGATACACAGATACAATGTTACCCTTTAGGGAATACTTTGCAGCCAAACATGTTTCCTGTGTGTAAGTATGTTATAAAAATCAATGGGCTGAAGTGAACCAAATGAATTTTAAAGATACTCTCCCCCTGGGCAGTTTGTAAACAGATGCTCAGTAGTCAGCAGTGTTCCCTTTCCCTGTGATGCAGTGTGATTCCTGTACTGTACACACTCCCATTCACCAGCCAGGATATTGATACAGCCCCCTGAGAGTCTTCAGCAAGATCTGATCTCTCTCTGTGATTGGGCTCTACCCATTAGTGGTTAGAAGCTGCTTCTATTAACAATGTCATTTCTTCGAATGGGCCTGGTATTGTCTTGCTCTGAAACAAGGTGTGCTTTACCTCTTTGTGCTCATCAACTCTCTATTTTATTAAAATGTTTCCCTTTTAGTCTCATTTTTTTTATTTTTCTTGGCTACAGCACTGTGATTATACTAATAAAGCTACAGGGTTTATGTACTAAACAGTGAATTGTGTTGGAAACATAAGATGAACCATTTAAGTTTTTCCCTCACTCAGAAGAATTTCAGTCTTTCTGACTATTTTGATCTGAATATTATTAAACTGGCATATTTTATTAATTATCCCTATGAGGAGCCAAAATGATTCCATGGCTGTACTTATGTATTTTTGCAATCACATTGTGGTGTATACTTTGCAATATGCTGCCCGCACACCCTGGCATTGACAGAGTTAAAGGAGTTAATCAATTTAAATCCACTAATTGTTTCCATAGTCTCGTTGTTTACATATAATGCCTGCACTCTTAAAAAAAATGTAGTACAAGAATCTGTAGCTAATCTATTATGTAAACCCTGTGTTTGGTGCCAGGTTGGTACAATACACCCATTTCCCTTATATAACTATAAAAAAAAAAGTATCTTCAAACAAAATATTGAAAAATTACCGACATTACTTTTACTAGACCCACAAGTAGCTCATATCACCGTGGTCTCAGTATTTCATCTGATACATTACACTCTGTGTCAGGCACTGAGCGATGCCCGAGCAGTAACTAATGCATGTAACATATCCGTGTGCTCAATTTTAAATACACTATGCCCATCAGCCTGGTGCCATGCCAGGGGAAGGTTATGACTAGCTCTAAACTAAGTCAACAGCAGAATTAGAAACAGACATTGGCAATTTCTAATATTAGTATGCTGTGAACTGAGGGCTAAACTTTCTTAATGACCACCCAAATTCTTCAAGTGTCCTAGCTGCCAGTTTTTACAATGCCAATGCTGGCAATCCCTGATTAGGGTATGGGTGTCTGAAGATGTATACACTGTAAGACATATATGTATGACAACGTTCTAAAGACAGAGCAATCATAGGAACATTCCATTGTTTCCATGGTGACTGCTCCACTTTTGGAACGTTGCACTGTTAAATAAGAGCGATAGGTAGATAGATAGATAGATAGATAGATAGATAGATAGATAGATAGATAGATAGATAAATAGATAGATAGATAGATAGATAGATAGATAGATAGATGAATAGATAGAAAGATAGATAGATAGATAGATGATAGATAGGTAGATAGATAGATAGATAGATAGATGAATAGATAGATAGATAGATGATAGAGAGATAGATATATGATAGATAGAAAGATAGAAAGATAGATAGATCGATAGATAGAATAGACAGGATAGATGGATAGATAGATAGATAGATAGATAGATAGATAGATAGATAGATAGATAGATAGATAGATAGAAACTTGGCTGTGTGCTGGTGATTATATTTACCATGTGCTAACATTTGTTAGTAAACATTGCAGTCTGCACAGTGGACAGCCAGAGCATTGTGTGATACACAAAGTGATACACGTTGCACTTACACACTTATCCAGCAGTCAGCAAATGAATATATACATATTTTATCATTAGAATTCTCTGAGTCTTAGCTTTTCTTTCATTGACATAAGAGTTAATCCCTTGAATGGCTGATAAGTGCCATTCACACCTGTCAGATAAACACTTCAGCTATCATACCTTAATAGTACACCTGTCGGTTACCCACATGTAATCATTTATTGAACTACTGAATAGCAGAATGCTGACTGTGAGCTATGTAAGATCATTCACACAGCATCAACAGACAGAATATGTGCTTTGGACATGGATATGTACTTTATACTTCACTTTTGGTGAATATAGATACAGATGGAGAATGGTTAGATAAGAGCAGGGGTAGTTGTAGCTTTGGTCTTTCCGAAAGTAAAATCTCCGTGCTATTTCTGCACATGCGACTGTGAGCACACAGCATACAAGATAACACAGCCAATAAGTAATCAGAATCCTGCACACAGTCATTGTATACAGATCAATACATAATCACACAATTACAACTCGTACAGATAACCACAAACCGTTAATCAATGGTAGTAAGATCTTTCAATCATAGTAGCTTCACTAGATAGATAGATAGATAGATAGATAGACAGACAGACAGGCAGACAAATATAGGACAGCGTTCTAAAGACAGAGCAATCATGAGAACATTCCATTGTTTCCATGGTGACTGCTCCACTTCTCCACTTTTACAACTTTGCACTGTAAAATAAGACAGATAGATGATAGATACATGATAGATAGATAGATAGATAGATAGATAGATAGATAGATAGATAGATAATCAGAAATGATAACATATCTACACAGACATATAGATTGCCAATTTATTGATCTGGAGTTAATCCAATATTGCATAACATGTACAGTGCCTCTGCTGATGTTCTGGCATAACCAATGTCCCCATGCCTTCCATACCTGGCACAAGCTAGCACTGTGGCATTCTCCTATCCTTTGGACAACACTTGGAGCTGCAGTAAAGTGGCATCGCTGTTATTTGCTTCAATAAAAGCAGCGGGTTTGCCCCCCTCCACGGTTTGAATCTGCTAATTACATTTTTTTTTTTTTGTCGTTAATTACAGTGACATCATTACTGAACTCCACACTCAATGCTATTGCATAACACAAGACGCTAAGAGTAAAATTCTGTATCATCTCTATAAACCGATTAGAGAAAGGGAAAAAGAAAAAAACGAAAGAACCAGCGGAAACAACAGCATGTCAGAGGTCTCCTGGCTGTGTTTCACAGCACTGATCAGGCAGTGATCACAGACTTAGCTCAGTATCCTTGCTTCCAATAGTACAGTCAAAAAATAATAATACAGACATACATACATACATGCACATTACTAGTTTATTCTCACAGTTATTTTGGGGGGGCTATATCTAAGTTTGTATGGCCAAAATAAGAAGAAGAAAAAAAAGAAAAGAATAATAATAAAACATACCAGAAGTGAGGAGGAGATCCAGCAATAAGCACATGCTGGGGGTATGGCACCTTATTGCTGCTGCATGGATCCTTAAATGAAAATGAAAATAAGGGGATCTCTTAGGGTTCTTTTTATTCCCCCAAAAATATTATAATTATTATTTATATTTATGTTCTGTATGAGGTGCAGCGGGTTAATGATGGGATGCTGCGGGGATGGGCTGGTACCCAGCATCTCTCCTCCTGCATCTCTGCCATGTGGTCGCTGCAGCCTGCAGGTGGGTGAAAAGGGGAGGGAAGCGGCGGCCAATGGGAGCGCGGTACCTTTGCTGGTTGCTAGGGGTATCCACGTAAATCAAAGGGCGGCGGACCAATGGGGAGTGCGAGGGGGGCGGCGCCCGGGACGCGTGCACAGGCACAAGCTGCTGCAGGGGAGAGAGGGGAAGAGACACAGAGAGGGAGCGAGGAGAGAGAGAGAGAGGCAGCCCGGGGCGAGGGGAAGCAGCTGTCAAATGCTCGGCTCCTTTAAGCAGTGCTATCAGTCGGGCTCGGAGAGTCATGGCGACCACAGCGTCCAACCATTATAACCTGCTGAGCTCCGGCTCCTCCATCGTCCATGCGGAGCCCGGCGGCATGCAGCAAGCCTCCGGCTACCGGGATGCCCAGACTCTGGTGCAGAGCGACTACTCGCTGCAGAGCAATGGGCACCCGCTGAGCCACGCTCACCAGTGGATCACCGCTCTATCCCACGGAGATGGAACTCCATGGTCCACCAGCCCCCTGGGCCAGCAGGACATCAAGCCCACCGTGCAGCCCAGCAGGGAGGAGCTGCACGGGACAGGCACCTTGCAGCACCAGGGGAGACCTCCTCATCTGGTCCACCCTGGCCACGGCAACCACCATGGAGCTGGGGCATGGAGGACCACCACCTCAGCCCACCTGCCCAGCATGGCTTCCACCAACGGGCAAGGGCTGATCTACTCCCAGCCCAGCTTCACGGTCAATGGGATGATCAACCCAGGCACTGGGCAAGGCATGCACCACCATGGGATAAGGGATGCCCATGAGGACCACCATGGAGACCATGGCCACCAGCAGCAACCTCAGCAGCAGCAGCACCAGGGCCACCACGAACACTCTGATGAGGACACCCCAACCTCGGACGACCTGGAGCAATTTGCCAAGCAGTTCAAGCAGAGGAGGATCAAACTAGGATTTACACAGGCAGATGTTGGACTAGCCCTAGGCACCCTCTATGGCAATGTCTTCTCCCAGACCACCATCTGCAGGTTCGAGGCCTTGCAGCTCAGCTTCAAGAACATGTGCAAGCTCAAGCCTTTGTTGAACAAGTGGCTGGAAGAGGCGGACTCATCCTCTGGGAGCCCCACCAGCATAGATAAGATAGCAGCTCAGGGCAGGAAGAGGAAAAAGAGGACCTCCATTGAGGTCAGCGTTAAGGGAGCTTTGGAAAGTCATTTCCTCAAGTGTCCTAAGCCATCTGCCCAGGAGATCACCTCTCTAGCGGACAGTCTACAGTTAGAGAAGGAGGTGGTCAGAGTTTGGTTTTGTAACAGGAGACAAAAAGAGAAAAGGATGACACCTCCAGGAGGGACAATTCCAGGGGCAGAGGATGTATATGGAGCTAGCAGAGACACACCACCACACCATGGGGTCCAAACTCCTGTACAGTGAATCCTCCATGTCCCCCTCACCTAGGACTTTTGATTGTCTTCTTTTTTATATGATCTCAGAACAGCAAAACAAACAAAAAAACAACTAATGCAGGACACTGAACTATCTTCTGTGGTAGCCAGTGTAAGTGATGTTATTTTGACCTTTACAGGAGACTACCAAACAGTGGAATAGAGTGAGTATATTCAGCCCATGTCAGGCACTGAGAAGCTTATCTTGCTAAAAACAAAAAAAAAAAACAGAAATCCCAGCTAAAATATTTTTATTTTCTAAAATGACAAACATTGGCAAACTTGAGATGGTAGCTTTATTCACTGAAATGATGCTCTTTATTGATTGTAGCTGATGTGGTTATTTAATGTGAGACCCATTTAAAAAATACAACTTTGACAGTATTTGTGATGAGTACCAATTTGCACTGCAAGGAAGTTTACAAAGAGCCAGTTACCTGAAGAATCAGTACTCAAACAAACCGTTTTCCAATTGACTTGCAAATTGACACAGGGAGCATTTTTAGCAAGACACATCATGGTACTGTGTTATAATTTGCTTTTATTTCTAATGTGTATGTGAACTTCTTGTTATAAAAAAAGAAATGTTTTTAAATATGTGTTATGCTTATTTTTAACCCTTGCAAACTGGAAACCAGGCACCTTACAATACATAAGCAGGCTGCACATTGAGGAAAAGACAAACAGAACTTGTGCTAAGAAAGTGTTTTTTTTTAGAATGCCAAGTAATTCAAGTAAACTTAATTTTCAGACAGTTTTCAGGGTCAGATTAAGAAGAAATATATATATATATATATTGGATTTAGCAGATCAGCAGGGAAGCAGAAGGCCCGGGGACTGGGAAGGCTAGATGAGTCTGTGGATAATGTTTAACTACCTGGGAAAAGTAAACTGAATTTTTAATCCAACAGTATTAGAACAAAACCTACATTATTTCAACTGGAACAAATCAAAGTACTTGTAATCCCTCTGACTGACTTCACAAAGATCTTAAAAATATAGTTTTTTTTATTATTTAATGCACACAACTGAAAGTTTCCTTTTCAAGGAAGCACTTTAATTAAAATAAACTAAATATTTCCAATTATTATTGTTTTTTTTTTAATTTATTTTTAGATATTATATCTATCTGTCTGTCTATCTATCCATCCATAGGTGTGTGTGTGTGTATATATATATATATATCATATTTGTATATGTTTAGCTATATATGCACACACACTCACATATTTATATATGTGTATGTGTCTTTACACACACACACACACACACACACATACACACAAAAATACACATATACCTAAATAATAATGCAACTGCTGTCTATTTGCTACATAGGATTCTCTGGCATTGGGATTAGTTTATTATATTTCATTATTATATTATTTTATTTTTTTTGCATTCGCTGTGGGATTTTTGTCCTTTTGTGTCAGTGTCAGAGAAAGCCAGCCTTTGAATATCCTTGTGTCCCTGTTGTTTCTCAGCTGAATTCTTTGACATCATTTTGAACGCAAACAGTTGGCGCTCTGAAAACAAAAAAAGCTTTGGGGGCAAGCATGGGGGTGGTGGGTTGGAGAGAGCCCCCTATCTTATTGTCATAAAAAAAAAAAAAAAAAATACGAAATAACTTCTGTTTGAAAAAGACTGGATCATAGACAGTTATGTCATTGTCCATGTGTACACGTTGCATAATACAACCTTGTTATTTGCACAAACTTGGTTCAGGATTTTTCATTTTAAATTAATGAATTAATGAATTGATGCAAGTTCTTAATTAAGTACCACGGTATTTATGTATATATATACACACACACACATATATAGTCAATGGCAAAATGGCATAGTGCAGTGGATAGAATGGTAAAATCTAATTTATTTTCCCTTAAAGGTTACATTTATTGACTAACTTCAGTGAAGTGTTCGTACAATAAAAAAAAAAAAAAAAACTAATATTATCTATAATACAAAACACAAATGGAAAATGATGTCCCAATACTTATCAAGTGAATATAAAGCTATCACACAAACCTTACTAATCCGTATATATGTTTAAGATTTGTGTTTTCAAATGCTAAAGTGTTTTAAAAACGTTCTTTAGTCTTTTTTTATTTTTATTTTGTTCTGTATTTTTTTAAGTTACACAGGTAAACATTTTGTGTTGAAAAGTGGCCTGTCTGAACGTTTATTTCTTAAAAAAAAAAAAAAAAATCTCCAAATGTTTCCCCCATGTATGTTTTAATATGTAGGCGATTCTAAAAGAAAACATTTAGATGTATTCGTTTCTTTTGTTTAAGCTCCGTATAAAATGTTTGGTATATTTTGAATTTGCTTGTGGGGGTGGGGGATAATAAAAAAAGATTCAGATATCCTTTTATATTTATGTTAAAGTAATATTTTATTATCTACATAAAACAAAAATGCAGAATATTTTTTTTTTGTTATGACCGTTCATTGATATCATAAACAAGATTTTTTTTGCTGATTTAACAGAGGTTTATAGCACACTAGAAAAAAATCGGTTTATTTAAAACCATAGAGAACACATTATAAAATAAGCAAATTTGCTTTGAATATATATATATATATATATATATATATATATATATATATATATATATATATATATATATTTAAATGTTTTCTCTTTATAATGTGCTTTTTGACGCTATTGAAAATTTGTATATCCTCCCACTCAAAAATGTTATTGCAAAATATTTTAGATGAGACAGCATTGAGCCCAATTTCCATTATGAATGATTATTAAAATGTATATTTTAATTAACCCAGGCCATCAATTAATTATATTTCTGTTTTCAAATTGTGCTATATTTTATTTTAATAAAATAATAATAAAAAAATAATAATTCCCCCTTATTTGCTTAATATACTTGCATGCAACAATTGAATAGCACAATTATTCCAGTTATAATAGAACGATTATTAGATACATGTAATAAATAGAATGTTGTGTAAGGAACGAATTCATCACAGTAAAATTGGTGGTTGTGCAGAATTTGCAAATGTAGTATTTAGGTTTAATGTACGTATAGGGGTAACTTGGAAAAAAACACGTTTAAAATAATAAACCATATTTTTATTATTGGTCTTGCAGGGGATAGGTGCAAGGCCTTCGTTAAAAAAAAGGCGCTCCCTGTTTATTAGAGTTAATCATCTTTTCTAACTTCAATCCAATATTACACGCGTCCCAAACTGATTCAGCTAAATGATCTTATCAATAGACCGGTAGGATAGTGACAGAAAGAAGAAGTGTGTTGTGACCGCAGACATGCTGATGGGTAAAATGTTTAAGCTGAGTATAGATCTAAGTCCTGTGGTCAATATCCCACTAAACTAGTCACAACACAAGCTTCATCTGCCCTCTGCAGGACATTTCACAGCTCTGGGATGAAGAATAGGCTTTAAATTCAATGGACCACTTAGCTGGGTATGATTGATAGATGCCTTCCTTGTCTGGATCTCTGTTGCTTTTAATAGTTCCTGGTTGGCACCCATGATGGGTCATATGTGACATCTAATACTAACAGCGTTATATTCTGCAAACTACCTCTCGTTTTTCTTTTCTTTTTTCAAACAGAGAATACTATAGTGAAAAAAATATATACGTTTTAAATCTATGGCAAAATCCATATTAAAATTTGCTGTGATTTTTCCCCAAATATTCTCAGGAATCGTATGTGTGATGTATAAAAATAAAAGAAAGGAGTAAATAGCAGTGTAAACTTCTAAAGTATGGAGAGAGAGAGAGAGAGAGAGAGAGAGAGAGAGAGAGTGTGTGTGTGTGTGTGTGTGTGTGTGTGTGTGTGTGTGTGTGTGTGTGTGTGTGTGTGTGTGTTTGTGTGTGTGTGTGTTCCCCAGGAGAATTGTGCAAATTGTTTCTTTATATCATTTTATCAAAACACATCAATGAGCAGTATTTGTTTTTTCTCTCTCATTTTTTTGTATGTCTTTTTTTTTTTTTATCTTGTTGCTAGCTTGTTTACTATGTGCACACAAGGCCCAAGCCTAGTTGGGGTATGGGACTGTAAGACATTGCTGTATTACTAACATATAAAGATTGCAAACATAACCAATGCATTGAGCAGGTTGTTAGGTGATTATTAATGAAATAGTGATTTTGGTTTTAGTTGAAAAGTGACTTGTAAAATCTCAGCTCATGAGAGTTGGTGATCAATCAGCTGTTTAGTAATTAACCACCAATATTATTCTATGTTTACTAGTGTTAGTTTCTCTCCTATATTGCAGAGAGTGGAGGAGTCTTTTAAAAGCATATTTTAAGATTATTGCAAGATGTATGACACTTAGAAAGAAAGTAACAAACACCCTTTCAAATCCTGTCCAATCGCTCTCCTGTGGAATGTCTGTTTAATTAAAAAAAAAAAATTATATGTGTGCCTTAAATCCCAGATAAAATCGATTATCCAGGTACGTTTCAAATATACCCTCATTTTGCAATATATTTATATAGAATTTTAATACAGTCTACAATCTCTTACATGGGGTGTCTTTAGTTTTAAATACTGAAGTAGTAATACATTTACGATGGATATGAGTTTATCAATGTATTTGTAGTTGATTACTGTTTTTGTTCTGTTTTGTTTTTTTGTTTGTTTACAAAATGCGTTTGAATTTGTTTTGAATTTAATTTAAATGTGTCATGTAGCAAAATGTGCCAAATCTAAATAAAATGTATTGTGGTGGGGGAGCGGAGGGGGGCAGGGGGGAAGTATTTACTAAACAGCGAATGATGGTGACAACGTTAAATAACTTTATTAAAAATGAGATAAGTTGTAAAAAAGTATTGAAGGATACGAATACCGCATGTGATATTTGCCTCCCGATTCGGCTTGTTTGGTCTACGTTGGTTGCCACCAGTTTTCCTATTTAGTAAATAAATGTAATTTTATAACATCGCTATTGTGGCGATGTTTCCACGTCGGAGGTTTGATGCGATATAACTCACTGTTTAGACAATAGGTCCCCTGCTTAATTAAATGGGGTTTCCTTAATAATTATATGATGATATATCAAACAATATATATATATATATATATATATATATATATATATATATATATTGTATTCTCAGAGTTTTATAATTAATGGGAACCTGCTTATATATGTAAAGCATAGGGAGAGATAAAGAATGGTTTAGTTACGACTTATAATATATATTTGCGCTTTTTCAGAGTTTTTATACATAAAACCGTTTTTTATAGACATAGGGATTTATTAACTAAGCAGTGATTTTTCTAACACTGCTAAGTTGAAAAACTATCTGATGTGAGATTGTAGATGTGCTTGTATCTTGGGTCTTGCCATAAGGAGTTAAAGTGTACCATTTAAAGTTAAAACGTTGGGGTGCAAAGGGGCCAATTGGCAGTGAAAGGTCAATGCTCACAGCTTTCGGTACAAGGATGGCTCTGTTTAATTAAACACACAAGGTTACTCTTCCCAAAAAATGAACAACTGACTTGGAGGACATTTTCTAGTTTGTAGAGAGACAATAGTCAATATTGATCACTGGCTGTAGAAAGTGAGACTGTACCTGTTACTGTTAAACAGGAGATAGTCCCAGCTCTGATCTGCCTTTATTGGTTCTAAGACCTGATCAGACTCCTCATAAATAGATAGATAGATAGATGGACAGACAGACAGATAGATGCTACTAACTTATCTGCATTCTAGCCGTAGAGTCATGTTTTAGACAGCACCATTTTTAATATATATATTTTTTTCTGTTTTGTGTATGTGTTTACCTGTTTTACTATCCATTACACTGAATTTATCAAAGAGTTTACTCACTTACATGTCAGATCACTACTCACCAGTTATTTTAACTCCTTAATTAAGGGATAGGCAGACTCCTTTATATTATGTCTTTGGTCCTTAACTAGTTACGTTCTTACCATCACTTGTTAACTTATCATCTGTCTTATTGGAAATTACTTTCAGTCCAGAAAATATTA